TCAACTATGACAGCAGGTAGTGCTTTCAGCCTGATTAATTTCTGCATATTTTAAAGGTCAAGAAGTGGCAGAAGTCATATTTTTATAATTTTTCTACTGTATACATGACATGACATCTTGATGGTTTTCTTGATTCAAAATATGATCTGACATACTTTATGTCTATCACTGTACATCCTCTGTGGTGACAAACACCTTTGACCAACCAAGAGAGCACAAGCAAGAAATTAATTCTTCTATGCTTTTATTAGGAGTTGCAGACTATTAGATTATTTCATGTTGCATTTAACCTAAAACAGTAACTACTTTTAAGAAGCCAGGGTAAAATATCCACCAACCACAAAGTGCTGGCCCTATGAAGTGGTGGAAAAATTCTAAGTACATTCTCTGGTCTATTTTAACAATCTCCACTGTGTATTAAGATACAGGTTGCAAAGCCTCATTGGCTTTGTTCTCTGGAATCATGACAAATTACAAATTCCTTGTCATTAGCAATTAATGGTCCAAGAGTAATGTTTAACACTCACTACACAGCTGTTTTTTAGCACTTAATCAGGAGATACCAACTTTTCCTTGCATTTTTAAAGGATCCTACATATTCACACACTGAATCCACATAAGATTTTAGGTGCCTCCTCACCCAATCAGTGCCTACAGCCCTCACATGCTTAACAGAAGAGTGGAATCTCTGTCCTTCAAGCTCACAAAACTTCTCTTGATGACAGCAGGTTTGCTAAGGTACTCAGGCTTTTCTGGATTCATGCACTGGCTCTTTTAAATTATGTTTTTTTAATCTAACTGTTCAGAAAACACAGAACTCGCCCAAGGCACAGCTAAGTCCCAGTGCAGTGTGCTGAGAAACATTTGAACAGACATGACATTGAAAACAGAACTGCCAGTTTCTCTTCTGAGTAGTGGTATCAGGTTCACACAGTGGAGGAGGATTTGGAAAAGAAACAGAAGTAGGAAACTGAATTGGTAATTGTTATTTCCTTTCTCTAGAGCACCCTTAACCAGCTGCATCTCAAATGAAGGTTGAGTCAAGCTGGAAAACTTACAGAACAGGTTTCTCTTCTATGATCTCCCAAACAATCTTCACAGCTGTTCTAGAACATGTGTCAACTGCAAAGTAAGCTCATATCCACTTTCCTCTATCTATGTCTTAACAAATTTTGTTCTAACATTGTCCACTGGGTTCCCATTTCCTTGTTTTGCCATCTGGATCCCATCTTTATAAATACAAGTTACTTTCACCCACTTGGCTCACTTCATCTGTAGAGACTTGTTAAATAGCTTTAAAGATGATTTACTAAAAAAGCAGTGAAGGATCTAACATGAGAAGAGATTAACTTAAGTAGAGAATTTCTTGCTTTAATGTCAAAATTATGTTACCAATGACTTCTGGCTTCCCATATTGTTCAGCAAATTTCTGCCTTATTCATATTTGTTCTCTGGCTTTATATATCTGTACAAGCACATGAATTACTCAGAAGGTATCCACATTCACAGCAATGATCTACTCACAAATTTCAAACATCTGAAATACAAATGTGTAGTGTCAGAAAGGCAGAAAGAAAAAAGGTCCAAACATTAGGGCTTTGTTTCTGAAGCACTATGGAACACACCAACTGAGCACAAGAGTTAAAGATTTTATTAAATGAGTTTTCTTTTGCCTACTGAATTGTGTATTTCATCAAAACAGTGCCAAGCTCCAAGAAAATATCAGTTATTCCAGTTACATTTTTAAATGGTATTAAAAATTTGTACTTTAAAGCCAAACTCTTATCTAACTTTGAAAGAAAAAAGTACCTCAAAAGTTACAGGAAGAACATAAACCAGCATTGCCAATAGGCTCCTGCCTCTTCTGGAGCAGGACAGAGCCATCCTCTTTCTAGTTTATGTTCTCATATCTTCAGTAGTTCAAGTGGTACAGGTCCAGGCTTGGCACTTAAATTTTGCAATCTCTTCCTCAAAATGCTATTCAGGACTGTATCTTTAAAAAGGACAGAAACAGGACAAAGCTCATGTACAAAAGGAAAAAAAAAAAAAAAAACAAAAAAAAGGGAAAGCACCTCAAGTTGATTCCTCCCAAAAGCAAAGAGCATCTTTCAGCTTAACATTTTTGTATGATCAGGAGTGAAACATTAGTGATGAACTAGAAAGGTGCATTAGAATCAGAAAGGTTCTTTAGCATTCTCTTCATCTGAATCTCAATTCAGCTGGTAAGACATACCAGTTCAGGTCTCTGTATGCCCTGGCACCTGGTGCAGGAAGTCTGTCCCAACCATTTAGTCAAAAGCAAAGTCTTTTTGATTCTTAAAGACTCTAAGAAGCACTTTAAAGTCTGCCCAGAAATCAACAGGCAGGTCCTGCTGCTGCAGTGCCACAAGTATTGCAGAGATGACCTTTTGGGCAGAGATGCCCTTACCCTATTTCCAGTATCAAATTAAAAATTAAATTTTTTAAAGTGTAGTAAGAAAGGGCCAGGTTAAAAAAAGAGGCCAGCCAGTCAAAAAGCTGTCTGAATTACTTCTGAAACATGCTGTCAAGCATCTGGCCTAATTTTGGCTATTAAGGTTTTCATTTGACTAGAGATCTAACAGCAGGCCCACTGTCTTCAAGGACTAATATTGCCTCTGGCTGCTTCTCAATACCAACCAGCAACCCACATTTTTCTGGGCTAAACTTCAATCTGTTTGTCCAGTATGAGCTTGGCACCATCTGGGACACAGAGCCACACCATCCTCAGCCTAAAGGGATAGGCAAGTCCCACTGTCCTCACTTCCTGCAGACTGAAGGAGAACTATTGAGCTCTCCAACATCTCAAGAGCGACCTCAAAACCTAAGATTGGGGACTCTGTTACAGCACATACCTAATGGATTTCCAGTCTTATATCACAATGCATCTCCTGATTAGTTGACATTTCACTCACAAGCCAAGAAGATGGAAGAAAACAGATGCAAACTGGGGACCTACTGTTTTTTAAGGATGTCATGACATTTATAATTGCTTCTCAACCTATATCAAGAAAACTAAGCCAAACCCTGTATCCACTGTATTTGCAATTTTTGACATTGCAAAAACAATCAAAAGAGCTGGGTTTGGCTTTGTAATGTTTTCTATTCCCTCTATGGTATTGCTTCAACTGTTTTATGCTATTCTCTAACCCTGTTAAAAGCCATCTTGCCAGAAACCTGCCACTTTCCCATGTGAATGCACTTGTCACCAAAATGAATTGCCACCTTGCATTAGTGGTTCAAAGAGCCTCCTGATAGAAGCTCAGGAAGAACAGAAAATGGGGCAAAAATGATGCATTATCCCTAAAATGCTGCTACTTCACTTGTCAAGGATTGCAATTAGAGTTGGGCCAAGTCAATGTTAGCTCAGCTGCTTCTGAACACACCTGTTTCAATTTAATTTGCAGTAATTAGGAAGCCTAGGGCACAAGGAAAAAACTGCTGTTCATTCACTGTTTCAAATAGCTGAGTTTTCATGTGCCATTTAAAATGCTGTTTTTCAGAACAGACTGCTGACTTGCTAATGCTAGGAAAATGAAATACAGCAAAATATTTTTAGCACCAGGAAGTTGTTACTTGCTACTGCCAATTACATGCCTTGTACTTGAACAGTGACATTTTTTTCCCCTTGCTTACTCTTCAAGATAGGTAAAAGCTGGCTGAGGTCTCATGGCATGAGGATTTGAACAAAACTTAGTCCCTGGGAGTTGGCTGATATTTCTGGAGTCATAGTCAGTACTGGCAGCAATCTGCTGTGACAGAGCAAACAGTGTCCCAGATCCACTCCTCAAAAATGGGAAAAGGAGAGGATTAAGCAAGAGACTTGGATCTATTGGCCTTGGCAAAAGGCTGAATAGCTTGTCATGCTAAAAAAATTACTGAAATTGGGGAGTAGAAAATGGGGCAGAGGGGGGAGAAATAAAAAAAGCATTACATTTACATAAGAATAGATGTTTATACTCTGAGTTAATTTATCAAACTGACAGAGAGATGAATCATCCACTATTAAAATAAGGGGATACAAGTTTTCTTTATACACAATCCTTATTTACAACTTTTAAATATTCACGGAGGAGTCAAGTATCCTCATCTTTTAATTTAAAATGTGGTCTTGCAGGCCAAAAGAAAACTCTTGGCAAAAATAAGTTTCTACAGGAACAGGGCCCAAAGAATGATTTCTTCAAAAACAGGATAGATCTCAGCAATCATGACGGTACTTTTTTTTTTTTTTTAAATCTACACTGCAAATCACAGAGGGCTCAATAAACTCAGACAAAGCTAGATCTCTGAGTAACAAAACTATGAGAAAGGGCAATAACAAGGGCCTGTAGCATAGCTAGACACAGCTACTTAAGACATTTTAAAATATAACACAAACTTGATTTTTTTTTTCAGATGACATACAGTTCTGCTTTGAGAGCCGTGTGCAAATTTGAATTTGCAATTGCATTTGCAATTGCTTTTGCAATTTTGTTCCCACATGCTGAGAATTCAACTGAAGCCAATACAGTTCCTCTCACTAAACTAACCTGAATAGATGGATGCATTTCTACAAGTAAAACTGCATTATTTTAATAACTGGACTTTTTTTTGTTGTTGTAATGCCATTGGGAACAACTATGCCACTGTTTATTTTTCCATCTCAGAACACCTCCCTGCCCAAATCCCCACCCCCCCAAATAAATTACCTAGGAGATTCACAGCAATGCTTCCTGAATATTGCTTTGATTATTTAGGAATGTTTTTAATATTATCAGTCATTATTTTTTGTAGAATTATGCATGCTTAAAAACTGGACAAGAAAACAGAAAAAGAAACCCATACAATAAAGTGAGGTTTGGTGGTCAGTACCGTTTTTCTACCACTTATGTGAACTTTATGGAATATAAAAGTGTCTGCCTGAAGCTGTGCTTATATAAGGGATATGGGACACCTATATATATGTCACACATGATTTTAAAACTATAAAAAATCAGAAAGTGTGAGGTTGGATCTTGGTTTATTCATTTGCCTTTGGTGCTTCAACAGGCAATTTCTTTACAATCCAGGATTTTAATTTTTCTATTTCAGTTCTGTTCAGCTCATGATTCAGGTTTGGAAAAGTATGAAGTGATGCTGATACTCCCAGAGACTTTAACATCTTGTTGGTCTCTTCACCCCATGAGTACAGAACTAGTTCATCAGCAGTTCCATGGCACTGAAATAATTCTGGAAGGGCACTTTCATTTCTTTTCAAAGCCTAGATAGAAAGGAGACATTGTCAGACATACTGCCAAGAATTTTTAAAGAATATTTACAATTACATGGTGACAATTTATTGCACTTACTGATCTACATTTTAAGGGTCATATTGTACTATCTTCATAGAAGTAAAAAAGGAAATACTGGAAAAAAACTGCCCTTCAAATTCCAATACAACAACTTTTGACAAATGATAGAGTTTCCTATAACGTCTATACCCCTCTCCAAATAAGAGAAACAGAAAAAATTCATGACAGCAAATGGATCTCGTGGGTATTATAATGCATCACACATTTTCAAAGAATGTTTCAAAGAAAGTTATGCTTATACAGACTCTTTAACAATTAAGGACAACTAGTAAAGCATTTCATTTGTTCATCTCCTTCTACACTTTAATATTGCACTGTCTGTGCAAGAAAGCACAATAAAACGTTATTTAAAGACAGCTTTAAAGCCTTGCTTTCCTAATATTTTGATTATCTATTTCCCAGAAATGGCATAAATTTAGAATATGAATCAACTGCCTCAGATGTATAAACATGTATACTGAATTTTAATCAGCATGTTTTCCATGTAGCTATGCAGGTTTTCTGTAACATCTACTACACACTCACCTGGTAAACAGCAGAGTCTTTATTGAGAAAACTAGACAAGGCAAAGACTCCTGCCAGATCCTGATGAAACCTATATGCCAAATGCATCGCCATTCCACCTCCCATCGAAAAGCCTCCTAGGATGCAACAAAAGAAACAAAGATTGGATTTTTCTATGTCTTTGTAACCCAATGTAAAATTTATTATCTTCAGAATAGTTTCTTTTATACATAATACAACAAAAAACCCATCTTGAGTATCGCAAAGGTTACAATGATTTTAGAATCACAGATCACTTAGGTTGGAAAAAGATCTCTAAGTTCATCAAGCCCAGCCTATGACCTAAAACCGCCCTGTCAAGTAGACCACTGCACCAAATTCCACATTCAGTCGTTTCTTGAACACCTCCAGGGACAGTGACTCCAGAACCTCCCTGGACAGCCTATTCCAATGTTTAACAACCTTTCTGTGAAGAAATTCCTTCTGACATCCAACCTGAACCTTATGTGGCATAGCTTGATGTTTAAATCAAAGCATGACACAATTAAGACACTGGACAGCTAAAGCAGTGCTGAAGATTCATTACTGACAGAGGACAAAAAGGAAAGGCCAAAATGCCATCACTTCAGAAGCCATTTGTGTATGGCCCCTACCAGGCAGCTGAACACTGTGGCCATATAAACTCTGACATTAATGAAGGAGAACTCTGTGAACAGGTAATCTACTTTTTGTATTCAAGTCATTTCTCCCCTAGGCTAGCAGGGGAACATTCACACATGAAAGATCTCTATTGTACATAATCAGTGAGCATTTACAATAAACTAGCATTGAGGATATTTTTGTTGTTATACCTTGGGAAATATAACAAATAGGAACAAAATACAATGTACTCCCCCTGAGCTCTAACAGGACCTCTGAATTAATACCTCCTGTGATCCATATGTCTCTTCAACTACACTAATTCCTCACCCTCAGGGTAAGATAATTCCTCAGGGATGATTTTTATATGACAAATGCTTATTCATTAGGAAAGAAATCCAGACTACCACATTACTTCACAAGGACACAGTACACAGGCCTTTATATTGACTGTATCCAGATAATGACTAGAGTGAAGTTTCCTTTACTTTCTTATGAACAGTCTGGTCACTTATTTAATTTCCTTTTGATCATTCTGAAGAATGTTGTCATCCCTAAACCCCAAAAGAAGCACTTGCACCCTAAGAGACCATTTTGCATTTGCTTACAAATAAATACAGACAATGCTCTGTCAACATATAAAATGAAGTTCATTTTAAGCATTTCAGATTACAGGAAGAAAAGTTGCATTGAAAAGTCATTACTAGTTTGTAAATGATTTAATCTTAAAATTTTGTACCCAGTTAGTCACAATCTGGCACACCGTCTGCAATTACTCACCAGCAGTCTTTGACAATGCAGTCACCTTCTGTTTAGAAGAATATTAGGTAATGGTTCTTTCATGTGGCTCATACTACTACAAGAAAATGCAATACAAAGGACTAGCTCTTTGAATTTGATTTGCATTTGCACCTGAAGTTTATCACCTGATACCACAACAATCTCCGAGTAAATGCCATATGGCAAATGCTTCAAAAACATTTTGAATAATCATTTATAGATGCAGATTATTTTTTAAATTACAAGAACCATTTCAGTGTATGTTTGACATAACACATAAAAAACATTCTCAGTCAAGAACTTCTACAAGAATTAAAATTTTGGATGAAGGAAAAATAAGAGGCAGATATTACACAAAACAAACGTATGAAATGACGGAGTATAAACAAAATACAAAAGTATATGTATACAGATGATCTCAGCATGAAGAATACATAAACTGTACAGCATTGCTGAGCTGATCATGTCAGGAGTGTTAGACAAAATCAAAATGACACAGCAACATTTCATCCTTAGATGGGCAGAACACTGCAAGGTCTTCACCAATCTACTTCCAAGACACACAAAGACAGTGCACAAAAGTTCACAGTTTGCCAGTAGCTTTTACATTTAAAAGTATGTTCACTTTCAGTTTTCCCCTCATAGCTGTTTTAACGAGAACTGTGATTAATGCTTCACAACAGGTAAGCATGGTTAGCTGACAATGCTCAGGATGCCAGTTCAGGAAAGCACCTAACTCTTTGTGTTAACTTCCCTGACTCACAAAGGACGTTTTATGTGTAGACTAATAGGGGAGCACATGCAAAAGACTCAATTATCTAAAATACTTTCAGTTGCAGAGAAAGTTCACTCAAGGATGCATTTATGACCTCAAATCTGCTTAGTCTAGTGCTCATTTTTATGTAACACCCCTCTGCAATTAAAAGAAAGCTGCTTGTGACTCCCCTTGATAGCTGAGAAAGATCTGCTGAAATCACACAATTGTCACACTTCCAAATTAAAGAATTTGAATCAGAAGGAAACTCCCATGCAATGCTTTATTAAAAATAAAGCATTATTTTCTGTAATATAATCTGTAGCTAAATTCAAGTAATCTCAGGCACAGGATGATGTAACACAATGTGAACAGAAACTGAATTTCTCATACGGAATTTATTCGTGATTGAACAAAACAGAAACCTTCACCACAGCTGCCATTTTTCAGTGATAGAACATTCCTTTCAGAGCTTGTAAATGGCCTTAGGAGTCTTTTAAACAAAACTCTAGCTCACTTTTACAAAAGATCTTGATTTGTATTAATTTGCTTCCCATTTAATAATCTGGTCCATGATGACACTTGAACATTATATGGGATTCAGGAAACAAAGTATTTACTTACTGCCAAACTTTGGCTTTATTTATTTCTTTGTACTTTTTCTAAAAATGTCTGTGTTTGCATCTCAGAAAAGACTAACTTTATTATCCAGCACAAAGGTTTATTTTGTATCTCCTGTCCTATATACATAAGAGAACGCTAAAAACTGCCTTTGCCCCAACGCATCACTTTAGTGGCTGCAATGACCTATTCCTGAATTCAGAAAGTTCTTCAGGTGTTCAATCTTCTTTTCAGAAAAAATAGCTCTTTAGCACACACAGGTTGGACATTGCCAAGTGCATCCTGACTCATATAGATCTACCTCTAAAATGCCTCAGTCCATTTGTCATAATGATTATGGAATCAGGAAATAATAAACATCACTTTTTCACTCTTTTCAGTAAAACTTAAAAACATGTGCTCAAAGCTGCTTGCCACACTAGAAATCACAGCCATGGGGGAAAAACAGCTATGAATCATATCAACTGCACAAATTTTGAAGAAAAAAAGGAACAGGAGAAGCTAAACCCAGACTTTGATGAGATTAGGATTTGGACTTGGGTGCAGGGGTGCAGTTTGGGGTGTTTGTTTTAAGCAATATTTCTTCATTAGTTTCTCTGTAGTAGTTGTTCCTCATCTTTCCTGCATTTCTTCATGTTTGTCAGTACAGTAACAAAGTGGCAAGAAATTAATTCTCCAGCACACAGTGCCTGTGCCAGCACAGCACAAGACAAACACTCTTCTGTTGTACAAGGCTACACCAGCAGTTAGAAATTGTCTTGGCCTGTTCTGTTATTATTACAATACATTACATACTCTTGCCTCCTTTTCATTCCATTCTCACAGCATTTTTTATTCTCAATTTCTCCTTTTTTAGTATTTCAACTTTGAGTTGCTTTAATCAGTTTGTTATCAGGAATTTCTCCCTAAAGCTACATTCCAGTTTACTTTTCCCTCTCCCTAGGGACTTTGTGATTTACCTTCCATTAAGGGTAACAGCATAACCTTGTTCTACACATCATCTGCAAAGAAGCTTTCTGTTTTGACCTTCCATTTTCATCAATGAATGGAAGTATTATATATATTTAACAGTGTTCACAAATAAGTATCAGCAAAGAGTACAAATGCCAGTGGAACAGCAAATTCCCTTCTCCACAGAACTCCCTGAACACTGCTCCTGTGTTAAGTGCTCAAACATGCATTTTGTCTCAAGTGAATTTCCTCACAGCAGTGATTTTCCCCTTTTAATCTCTTCATGAAACTTCATCAAACAAAACCCTTGCACACCAACAGAACTGCCATGAACGGTTTCCACCTTTGATAGCCTTGTTATTCTGGTTGTTACTTAGTCTTTACAAGAGCAGAAAACTTGAGAGTCTTTACAAGAACAAAGGCAACTTCCCTTGAGTGGGTCAGCCACTTGCTCTCTTTAGGAACATGAATCAATTTGCTCCCCAACTTTCTCACCAGTCAAAAGACATTTTGAAAGCTTATTTAAGTGGTACGAGTTTTACCATTTTCTTGTAAAAACAAGTGTACAGTTGTTTCTAACATATCAACTCACAGTAAAACCAGAAGCAGTTACACTTTTATTTTCAACTGTTATGGGCAATAGAGAAGAACCCAACATGTGTACCTAAGGGGTTGTAATTTTTAGCACTGGAAGAAAAATAAAATCCATGAAAAGTCTCAAATCAATTTTTATTAAGATGTTACTCTGCCAATCTATGGCTTGCTTCATTTACCCAGTGTGTTTTCTTGGTTGCTTCTAGAGAGGATGACAGCATTGCCCTGCTGCAACACTTACCTGTCATTTTTACAGTCAGGATAACTGCACAACATGGGAAAAAGGAAGAGAACAACCTATCCTTTATGCTCACAGTATTTGTGACTGTAAACTGAATCACAGAAAGTGAAAAATAGCTCTCTAAAGCAAAGAGTAGTGAAGCACAGAAAGGTTGTTGCTCTGCAGAGCTGTGAACCTTCTGTCAGCAGAGATCTTTCAGAAGTCAGAAAAGCAATGGTAAGGATTTGCCTAAATAGAGCTGAGCCTGCACTGGCACATGACAATGGAATAGCAAATGTTGTGAAGTCTCACTGTTCTACGATTCTGTTGGCACAACTGTGAAGAAAGTACAGGTTAATTTGTACCCTGTGGCACGTCTGCATAACTCTCAAGCATTCTAAAAGCCCGTCCATCCATTTAATCTTGCACTGAATTCAGGTATTTATTAAAGATGAGTAAAGACATGTTTTGAACAGAGTTCCTAGTAAGTCTGAAAAGACCAGAACTTGATTTACTTTATAATTATTTTCTTACCGAAGTCATTATATGTGATGACCATATCATGACTGAATTTTTTT